AATCTGAATTTTTCTTTCATTGCGGGTGCGATAAATTAATTTTTTTTATTGAAAGGAATGAGAGTTTAAGCTATAAATTTTAAAAATAGTATATAATAGCGGGGAAGTTTTAATTATAAAAACCGTTTGGTTTTGCTGAATCTTCTATAGCCTAGAAAAATAAAGATTAAACAATATGATTAAATTATTAACAATCTAAACTCATAATAGCCGATTTGATTTATTTAGACTCTAGACTCGTTTAAACAAACTCTGTATAGAGTTTCAGTTATGGTTGGTTCACCTACTTTTTCTACATACTGCTAACAAATTATTATACAGTTAATTACTGGCCAAAAACACAATAAGGTAAGTTTTTTTGAAACAAATAGTATTGTTAAGATATATTTTATTGAACATAAAAAAATGGGTTAGATATAGATTTAGTATCAATGATCATACCATATCGATTATTATGAAATCGATCTAACCATATCCATCTGATTCACTATTTACTATTGACTTAAATGAATTCGGTATAGAATCGACCGATTCGTGAAGCATTCTCATTATTTTACCGACTTAACACATATCAAAGGACCGTATTTAAATAAAATTTGATGCTATATGTTTGATAGAATTTCAAAGCAATCGTTTTTATACGCTTTTACCGGAAAATACAACGATTCTAAGTATACTGCTATCAACTGGATAGTGTGAATTATTCACTTAACTAGAAAAGATCAAAATTGGTCAAAAAAGTTGCAGTATTTTACCAAAATAGTGCGAGGGTCCTTAAAACTCTAGTAACAAAAGCTTATATGTCAGAATGCAATACATTCATCCTATTCCATTTCAATCTGGCGACCGCAGCCATATTGTGGATTAAGCTGGTCTACAACTAGGTCTCTGATTAATAAATGGTTTTCAGCTGAAAGAAGTCGCAACTGGTGCGATATTCCAGGTAACTGTCAGCCTAAAGAGCTGGTTCATCCCTATAGTTATGGTAAGGTATCCTTCTTTAGCAGATCAGAGTTGAGGTTGCTGGTAGGGTCCCAATGGACTGCGTTATCACCTTAACAAAATGGATTTGTCTGAAGAGATATATTGTTGACTCTACTTGGAACACACGAGACTTCGAGTCACTTTTTCTGGAACTGCCCAGCCTTGATGTGGGCCACGAGAAGGTCACTAGGTCGAGAACTACTCTCCCCTTCTGATATTAGGAAGTCCTTAACACTGACATTTTGGCTTTTATTTGGAAGGCGAATGTCTTCTGTTCGGTTATAGTCTATTGCAGTACAAAAGATTAACCATGGTCGCGGTGTTCCGCTCCGTTGGAATCTGTTACCTGTTTATTTCTATTTCATTGTACGGAAATCGGTTGTGTATATATATTTATTATTTTCTTCATTATTTAAAAGGTATTACACATAAAATCACAGATGTTATAAGCCGTTTTGAAGAAAGAGCTGTTTATCCTCGTAAAATGATATGGATATGACCATATTACTTAAATACCTGTTGATGGCTAGGCAACTAAATTTTGTTTAATATAGCCTATAATAGTCAAAAAGGCATGAAAAATTATTGTGATTATTCCTTGTATGACTGTTTGGGTTTAAATAGTTCGAAATGCATATATATCATTTAGTTAGCGGAGTACAGATTTTCAGAGAGAAACTGCATTACAGATGAGTTGGTTAAAACAAGAAATGTTTTAACTTATATCAGAAAAATGAAAGCATTTGTACGATCTGTGAAGTGATAGTCAAAAATATATCTCTGATGAAAATATATAGACGACATAATTAGGGAATGACATGTTAAACTCATCTGGCTATTTTTTGACCAGAAATGTGCACTACGACTTCTGTTAATGTGAAAGGTTAAAATGCTTTATTTATAAGTCCACACAACAAATTTTCAAAATGTTTCTTAGTTCTTCTCTAGCGCATAATAAGAAAATTACATGATTGTTGTATGTTACGAGTGGGTACCTGCGTTCGCTTATGAAGTTGTGGTTGGTTGTAGTGGTAGGCCATTAGATAACTTCCTTCTACCTCAGTTATCTATTTTTCACCGTTTTGCTAGCACATTCTTCGCAAGAACCCCTAATATAGAAGAGTAGCGACTAAATCTATCCCGTCGAATTTAGAGAATTTAATAGTTATCACAGTCAAACAATAAACAATAAAGTTGTACTTCGTAATATTTATAAAGAAGTTCAACCATTATGAACTGTTTTAATTAATTTATTTCAAATACATAAACATACCTACATAAAATGAAACTAAATATTGTATTGTAAACAGATGACTATATGTACCTTTCACAATGCTTCATTAAGCCCAATTATAGCTTAAAAACGTATTAATATTATTATTAATTATTACTTCTATAGTAAGTTTTGTTCTGAATTACACACATTCATTCCAAAGAACTCTATTAGTGCTGAGTGGTTTACATATATTTTTACTTTACTTAAATATAAACAACCACAAATTTATTAATTCAATTGACAAGCCAATAAGTTGCAGAATAATTTAACTCAATTATGATATAAATTAAACACAAAATATCAGAAAAAAATAAGAGAAAAATATTTCTGGGAAAAGTCTAGCAAGTCCTACCATAGTATGGAGCAGCACATGTCGTGCTCTGTGATATTTTTGGCCACTTTGCCTCATGTTGTGAAAGTTGAACATAAATTTTACCAATGGCATAAAAATGAGGTTTCAGGAGATACGAAGATACGTTACATTGTCAGATCATATGGTTACTTTAGTTGCTTTGGGTTATGAAGTTATGCTTCACTTGCGGGTTTGTCGGCTTCTGTCTGTTTATGTCTGGTAGTTGTCATATTCACACATGTACGTACACCTCATACGAATGAAGTATTGCGGTTTAGCACATGTACAAGTCAACACAGTTGGATGTCTTCCATCCACATTCATTCGAACGAACTCCTGCTGTGAGTTTCGCTTGCCTGAAGGGTTTCAAACAAATATAAATAAGGATATACAAGCAAATATAAATAATTGAGCGTTTATACGAGTATTTGATACGAGAGTTCACATCTGCAAACACCTCACATACTCGTAAGAACTTATGTGAACATATCATATCATATCATCTCTTACCCTGCAGCTTTTTCCAAGTGTAAATTGCCTATTTTATATTTTAACAGAAATTATTTAAGTGTTAATGGCATTATTTTGTAATTATTGTTGCTTTTGCGGTTAAATAAGCAGCAAAACAGTAAACATTAATTTAAGGATTTTGTCGCATTAAAATATTTTGAGAATTATTTGAATTTTTCGAGAAACACATGTACTTTTTGTGGTATTTTCTCCTGAAATGTGAATGCGTCTAAGAATGTGTGAATATTTTCTAATAAGGGAAAAATATATACTTTAAGTTCTTAGTAATAAATTATTCTTTAAATGTCATTTGCACCTTTAAAAACTTCAAAATGGAACTAAATAAGTAAGGAAGAGACTTATACAAAGGAGACATATTAATGTCGTAGGAGATAAAAACGATTAAGAACGGATGATTCAACGAGTTATATATAAAAAATACCGATAAAATCTATTCTGTTTGGTAATTTTATCTATTATTTGAAATGTGGGTTAAGAACGCGAAAACAAAGTAAATTCTTTGTACAACAGAACCCCTAAAAATCAGATCAAATCGACGAATAACCACATATAGAAAGTGTTTAACGATGGACTCATCAAAGCTCGAGGAGATTTGAAATCTAGTGGAAGACAGATGCAAAGGGTCACAACAAAGTTCTTAAATCTATTTTTTTTTCCATGAAACACTTTTATTTACACTTCAGTGCATTCCGCTTCTATAAATTTCATTTACAATCTGATATAACGTTAAAGACTCCATGTTATAAAAATGAGTAGTTCTAGATATATAAAACAATAATAAGTTCGTGCCGAATTACGATATAAAAACAAAAGTCATCATTTATTACTCATTTACTACAGAAATGAATGCTCTTGAACCAATTGTTAGAAAAAAACAACAACATTGCATTGGATATGAAGTAATTTGCCAAACCATTAATGTAACATACATTGTAAGACTAATAAGAGTACCAAGACTGGCCTTGAATAAATATAATGCAAGACCATGTATCGACCTTCTTATCAAAGATACAAGAAATATGAGACCATATAGAAAAAAGCACCGGAAAGACCACCGGAGACACCATCTATAACAGATGACTAATTATTGAAATCAAAATATAATAACAATTATATTATGTATATAATATATTATATACCTAGAATAAGAAGAAGAAAAATTTCAAGTACTGAATCTATGATGAACAATCCTTCTCATGTGCTTCTCATAGAAGCACAAAGTTTCCAGTTTCCAGAAGCACAAAGTTTAAGTCAATTTAAATTATAGAAATGCATGTGTTTCCCAATAAATAACCTATATGTGTATTAAATACTGCATCTCAACATATATATGTAAGCCGGTTAAGCAGTCATCTAGAAGTCGGCTAAGCAGTTAAGTAGAACTCGATCAAGCAGCTAAGTAGTAGCAGTAGTAGTAGTAAGTTGAGAGTAAGCAGTCGGCAGCAGTAGTCAGTCGTAAACAGTCGATATTAGAAGTTGTTTTTGAGTTTAACTTTTACATGTATTAATAGCACTATATTTTCATCATAATTAAACATTTAACTTATACGTATATCTTAGGAAGATATGCTGATTTAAGGTCCGTCATCAACTAAAAGACAAATAAATGATATGTTTTTTTTTTAGCCTAGTTAAAGTCTAGTGTGGGGTGGAGATAAGCCCCCCAGCCATTATAGAGTAAAAGTGCGTAATAGCACTAACTCAAGAAGAAGAAGAATCAAGAAGAATCAAGAATCTATACCATATATATATAAACGTTCATGATTTTATTGAAAACGAGTTGCTTTGCTTCAAATGTCCTTTTTTATTAATGAATTTTTTATTTAAATTACATTAACTAAAATAGTCTGATTTTAATATTTTTACAAAATTTCTGGATTTAAAATTATATGTTTGTTGAACCACATTTAAGTCAGCATAATGCAAAAACTCCTTTTAATATTTTTGGGGAGTGTTATTGGATTTCTAATAAGCAAAAATTGTCGGTAGTTTAGCACCAGGAATAAAGGAGTTATCAATGGTAAGCAATGAAATATGTAAAATGTTTATGATTTACAAGAATATATTTATGATTCTTATATTGAAAAGGAAATTCATTTTAAGTTTTTAATATTTGAATTAGTTAAGTAAACATAATTAATGAAAATGTAATATATAAGGCAATTCGTAATTAGTATTAAAATCAGCATTTTAAGACATACATATATAGGGTGTTTTGTTTTAAAGGTCCTCAACTTCGAGAGGTGACAGTGAAATCTACACTGAACTTCTTACAGGACACTGTAGACTTAAGTACCACGTGAAGATTATAGGTGTGGTAGAAATTGACTCCTGTCGACTCTATCATGAGGAGAAGGAAAAATCAGAACATATTCTGTGCAACTGCCCAGCGGTGGCAAGAGGTAGACTCGATTAACTTGGAAGCGGGATCTTAGTCTCAAATCAAATAGGTAAAATTAAACCCAATTGCAAGATTTATAGATAGTCTAGAATTGTTTTAGTTGGGCCTTTAGGCACACATTAAATCTTTTAGATCGGGGTGTATTCTTAATAAAAAAAACTTCGAGAAGTAGTTTGTGGGTCCATAAAGCTCACTTCAGAGAACGAAGCTATTTTACTTTTAAGTTGTATGTTTTTACGGGTAAACACCTCTTTAATATCCTATATAACAGTTCATATTTAGTGGGGAATCCTTCTATTCCATTCCACGTTAATCAAAAAATCACCTCTCGAAGTTAATGCAAAACATCTGGACCATTATATATTATATATAAACGAAGTTGCTGTGCTTAAAATTTCCATTTAAATTTTTTTATTTATTTAATTATATTATTTTCAATTTTAATATTAAATTACATTTTTTCAATACTGTCACAAAAATTTTTTGGCTCCAAATTTTTATTATGTTTACCGAATCCAGATGAACAAGATGAAAGGAGCAGTTCCTTACATTGTTTTCGGAGCAGTTATTGGCTTTTATATTAACAAGCATTGTCGTTAGTTTGGTAACAAGAGTGAAATGGGTGGCAATGCTAAGCAAACAAGATTACCATTAACATGATGTAATGGCTTCGTAAAATTGTACTGCTCCACTACAAGGTATTTGACAAGTAAACAGGCCTACTATCTTGATGACAATGATCCTGCATGAGTCTTGCAGAATCATTTGTTGATCTAGGTAAATATAAAGTTTGGAAACTCCATTTTTTCTATAACTGAACAGATTTTTTGTATTTAAGGTCAAAACAAAAAGTCGGAATCTCAAACATGAAAAACATTTGCTGCACGGATAATGTGGTTCACATTCAGGGTCAAAATTTTACAAATTTAAATGAAATAAATATTAAATAAATAAATAAATAATATATGCATTTTTTTATTTATTAAAGATACACCTTATTTAGTTCAGAAGACTAAATAGTTATAATTGCAATAACTATGGAAAATAGAAATTTTCCGTCAAATAATAAAAGACTTAATCCATAATTGTAATGACAGTATTATGTGTATGTACAATATTGGATAATTAAACCAAATAAAAAATTTTTATAATTCATTTATATTTATTATTATCTATTAATATACATACTTAATAATCATATTGCGTATATAAAATAATTATTTTTTATTATGTTTATTTCAAAAATAAAAACATTTAATTTTTATTTCTTAAAATAAAGTTCACTTTATTAAGCTGAACTTAACACTACAACGGTTGATTCTTAACTCTAATCTAAATTGAAAATCCTAACAATATAAAATTACCATAAAAAATCTACCATAAAATTAGGTCAAGTAACCATAAGTCTCACTTGAAAGCTTGACATCTGCGGATCATGGTGTTAGATGATATGTCGATTGTGTTTAGATGAAGTGTCGTTTGATTTCCAGGGTTTGGATAAAGTGTCACTGTTCGTTTATCTTATGTTTAATATACAATTATGCGTTAAGTTATACACTTACTTTATGTATGTGTATAATCCTGGGACAGTACTGTTAGATAAGGACCCTTCAATGGAAAACCTTTTATGTACATAAATAAATTTGTAGAACATTGTTGTTCCTCGACAAAAAAAAAACTGTTTTGATTGCATTATTCTATATAAATAAATATTAATAATGAATATTCATTACATTCAGTATAAACATATATTACAGTTAATAACGCATTCATTATTTAAAAGTTTAAGTTTAAGTTTTTAGAGAATATAAGAGTGAATAAGATCTTATCCCGGAAAAGAAACAAAATATATAATTTTTGAAAAAAACTGTTTCAGAAAAAAAGAAGAATCAATTAATCTATAATCTACTTTATCTAGTTTTTTGTGTGCTCTTTTCCCAAACTAAATGGTTGCCATTAAGATGTCAGAAGACTACAGACACCTTTTATTTAATTTATTAAATTATTCTATATAAATATAGATGGGTTTGAACAGTAATGAAGAAAAGACAACAAAAATGTTAATTAATTTATTGAAATTTGGCTGAGCATACAACGTTATTTCGAGTATTGCCAAGCAGTCATCTTCAGTGATCTGCAATGAAGTTATTTCTTGGAGTTATTTCTTATATTTAAATATTCGTAAATAATTTTTCTTTTTTTTTTTGAGACTGCAAAAACCAAGGGTTGAACCCGTGCCCTATCAAATTTGAGGCTCAGAGTTAGAGTTAGCGTTTATTGGCCAGCTGACACAAAGCCGTACTTGACTAGTAAGCGCTATCTTGGAGTCTTGTTTATTTGCTGTGAAAGCTCATTAACAAATTCACTTGCTGTGATAGAATGAAATCATAAACCAGTTAAATTAATTAATTATATTTATTTTTAATTGTGAAATATGAATACTGTGTTTGGTAATATATTAATAATTTATTTTAATATTTTCTAATTTTATAAAGCAATAAAACTTTTAAAGTTTTTAACAACTAAACTACTTGATTGTAATAATATACGCAACTACATTAAAAAATAATGTAGTACATATGTGAAATGAAAACACATTTTAAGGAAATATTACAAATTCTTCTTACCAAAAAAAATTAATTTAAAATTTATTTTTAATTATTGTTGATTTTAAATATTGATTTTTCCAAAAAAAGTGACACTATATGGCACTAAATAAACATTTCTTTATGACTTATTAACTTAAAAACTATTCCATAACTATAATAAAATGTAATATTTCATTTTGTTATATATATTTTTAATATTATTAATAATAAACGTATGTATTTGAAAAAAAAATTTAAATAAAATATTACTAATCAATTTTTTTCTTTTTTACAGGTAAATTTTTATAACATATTGTAAATAATAAAATTTTTGTAAGTATTCAACTATTTTATATGTTATGTGTCCTTAAATTGAATATTTTTATAATTAGCAAACAAAAGAAATAAAAAACTTGAACTAGTAAACACTGTTAGAATTACTTTCGAGCAATTGATGTAATAAATTTGGAGTACGTTACTTACACATATTGTTTTTAGATTTTGAAGAAGTCTTCTATAGTCTTAACCGCAAATTCATATTGCATGTACTTTAAAAAAGCTGTATGCCTACAACAACCTTAAACCTGATCAAGGAGCTATACAATGACGTCAAACACAGGATTGTTTACAAAAACCAAACCTTCTTAGTCCTTTTAAGAAAAAACAAATTGAGACAGAGTTGGAACTGGACACCTACCTTGTTTATATTGACTCTGAACGAGGTTATGAGTAAAGCTTAGAATAATACCACAGGTATTCAGTAGGACTTTTAGTACCTTGCAACATGTTCAATCATGTAATAGTATCTGCTCTAAGAACTCGAATTAAATACAAAAAGGACCAAAAGTATACGATTCCAGTGTTAAGAAATTTAAAAAAATTTAAAACAATTGAAAATTCAAACGTTTTTAAATTGCAGACCTTCTTCTCAGAGAGGCCTTGAAAGTTGTTGTAGACAAAATTAAGATACCCAAATTGATTTGAATGAAACACTCCTTCAAGTAGTAAGTAAATATTAAATCCTTTACGCAAGCTTTAACTGTTGGAATATGCACGGAAGTAGATGACCCAATGCATCGATTGCAAAAGAAATAACAAAAGCGCAGCTCTTATTGAATAGACTAATGTTTAAAGAAAGATTCCTACCATAAGTCCCAAAAGAAGAAATGGGAACTAGGAAAAAGAAGAATTCATTGCTATTCTGAAAAATCTTTCTTAGAAAAAACTCATTTTTATAACTATTTACAGATTAGTATTGTAAGTTCATCATTTTTTTAGCATATTTTCCTTTTTATAGTAATTAAACATTAGATAGTGGATTTCTTCAGATATTTCAATCATTTTCAAATCAATATAACTTTTTACAGGCCAGGCCAATTAAACAACTGCTCTCGTGAAAAATATAGCCTAAAATAGTATTTTAAAATACTTCTTCGTTTAATTGGATTTGTGTAGTCAGATATATGAGTACCAATATCATCCTGTGATAAAAATCAAAAGATATCTTTATGTCATCTAAACTCTGTTATCAACCTCAAAAATCTTATAAACAAACTGAGTACATGTTTAAACTTTACTGTGGTAATTCTGAAAAATTAAGTATTCTTTAAAATATTTTAAATTTTAATTATTAAATTAATCACAAATTTTTAATAAATTAAGGATACGACATTAATCCCTGGTACTTGCATTCTAAAAAAATTATTTACGAATAATTAAATACAAGAATTATTTCCAAAATCACTGATGATGGTTATTTGGCACAACCCGAAACAGTTGTATGGTCAGTCAAATTTTAATTAATTAAAATATTATAAAAGAATTTTTGTTGTAATAGTTCACAACTCTTCGAAACCTCTATATAAATTCATTATAAAAACGAGTATTTAAGTGACTCATGAAATAAGCATCCATACGTCAGCTTTTGATTTTTGATAGACTGACTTCCATTCAATTAAATGGAATGTGTTTTTTTCGGAAAATTTTTGAGTCAATATTTTAAGTCCATAAGCTTTACTTTTCTTAAGTAAAGAAAATACAATAAAATGAAATCCGAATTTCAATAAAACTGCACAACACATTTCAAAATTTTAATACCTCCGAGAGAGATATGTCGAAAAGTTCATCACATTAGAAGCATGAAAGCTCTAAGTCAGAAACGCTCAAGTGGACACGAAACTAATACTTCCGGGTGCGGAATTGAGCAGCTGTGGCAGCAGACGATTGTCACACATTTACGGAAGTATGGCATTACATCTATGACTTATATGATATATATGTGTATGTATGTATGTGTATATGTCAATAAGACTTCATGTCCATTTCTGTTATTTGCTATGATTTAACGTTTATTAACTATTCAAATACGTAAATGCACGTAAATGCTTGAGTACATAAAATGTGGGTAAATATGTACGAGTTTTCATGTGAGTAATCAAAAGACTGAACGCTTATCGCATGGTCGTTCTGCGAGATGGCAACCATTAAACGGGTCTAAATCGTATGACAGTCGTATTTAAGGATATTAAGTAATTATTTAGTTAGATTTTTTTGCAGTAAATAAAATTTTAAAATCAGTTTTTTATTTTTGATTTTAATGAAATAAAATAAGATTATAAATGCAATGAAAATTTTTTATTGGCCATCAAATATTGTGAACTGCCGTAACTGACGTAAATCATTTAAATGCAATAATATCCAATTTCGTATATATTTTATTGAATTTTAATCTTCCTGAAATGAAACCTGAATTAATTGTTTTTTATTGTATTCAATTTTTCAGACTTTGTTGTTTCATTTACGATTTATTGAACTTTTGCTCTTTTTAATTGCTGAGCGCGAAAAGCGTAAAATTGCCATTGCTCGGATATCCTCTTTGGGAATGAAAAGTACATCAATTTGTTTTTAATTGTTCCGTATATATTATTTTATATAGCAGACTTTAAGTACTAAAGTAAAATTATTTGTTTAATTTTTAAAGTAATATCTGTTTTCATCACAGTTTGATTACTTTAATTAAGTGCTAAGGATATCCTTAAGGTCTCGTCAAACAAAAAGCAAAGGAAGGCGCTTTGCAATATAAACACGTGCCAATAGTTGAACTTTTAGTAAACTTTTTTCAGGATCAACTCATTCTAAATGATTCGATTTATCGCTTAAGCAAATCTACCAAAAGGAAATAGTTAGAAAAGTTGGAAGTTTTAAAATAAATTTTCTCCAATGTGAAGCAATGCGAAAATAAAAAAAATTTTAGGAATGAAAATTAAAGCACTTAAGTGCAGCAATTTGAAGTGTAACTTGGAAAATAGCCCAAAGTCGAGTTGAAATGTAAATGACAAAGATGTTGAGAAGAAGGACAATTTTAAATTATCCTTTT